ATCTGCCTTTCACCCTTGGCCATCGCAGGGGGTTAATAAATCAGGGACTAAAGTGCGTGATTCACCTATTTTTCAACACACGGACCGCCTGCTTCCCCAAGTAGACCGTGAACGAACGCTTACGGCGAACGTTACCAAGAAGCAGGACAGTATCAGCCCTCAGCCGCCGGAAGACGTGCAGAAAGCTGAATTTGATAACAAAGAGACTGGAACCCTGGACAGAACGGAACCAGTCGTCACATGTGCCAGCAAATCCGATTCGGACGAAACGCCATCGGGTTCCAATGAAATCACATCCTCTACGTCCCCGCCGTTGTCACAGAGTATTGTCTGCGAGCCTCCCGAGCGGCCTCTACCGGATTCGCTGTTGCGGGCGTTACCCGAAGAAGCTCGCAAATATATAGAGAGATTGCAGTGTGAAAACGAAAAACTGCGACAAGGCCAAGCGAACAGGGACCGGTTAATAGAACAACTCAAAATTCAGCAAATGGTATTCACGAGATCTGAAACCAGCAAACCGTCGCCGCCCGTGCAAGAGGTTACCACATCGCAGGACCGTGACATCGAAATCGCACAGGAGCCCGACTTAGCGTTGGTACCGCAATCGGAACAGGATGGCAAAATGCTTTCTGAAACATTGGTAGAACACGAGCCCTGTGGACAACTTTCCTGCGACGACAGCCAAACACAGAATGATGTGACGGTCGGAGATAACAGCGAGCAGAAGGAGGAAGGCGTGTCGGAACGCAATTCTGACTACAAGTCAGAAAACGCAGAAAACGTACAGCCCGTACACCAGTCAGAATCGGTGCCCGGGGTTGAACCCGATCGCCAGAATGTCGAATCGAACCGTCCAGCAAACTCGCCAACTCCGACCGGCTAGAGTCTGCAGAGTGTGCAGAGTCGGTCTACACACAATCTCTTACGTCAGGGTTCGCAATTAAATGGCAAATCTGACACTATAAATTTTAGTGATTTTATATTTTAGTGATACAGATTTTAAGGATGAAAATCGTTTTTGAGATTTGATGTTATTGAAAACGTAAACTGTGAAATTATAACGTTTTGTTTGTTATGATAATACTTTGTGTTATTATAACTGTTAATAATAAGTCGTTCAATAATAAACTTTTTGATACCGCTACTACAATTTGAGTTAGGAATAGCGTCATGGCTGTGCAAAAGTTGTGTATATAAGTTTGTTGCAAATGAAAGATCGAAGATGAGTGTAATGGGTGTGCTTTTATAGAAAACAGTTTTGATTTAATTTTACAGACTTTGAAGACCCACCATAACCTCCTTTTTGAAAAATATAATATAAATTTGTAGGCCAGTTTAATATGATTAATTATGTAAAAATTTCAAATAATATTATTTGTACAAATATATATTACTATGGTAAAATACTACACTTAAAGAAACTTGTACATAATATTTAATTCATTAAATAGCTCTGTAGCATCGTCATTACTTAGTAACTAAGAAGGACAGTGTCATATTCTGAGCAATGGGCAATTTTTTCGCTCATGTTATATACGCGTTTGTTGAACAATGTTTAATGCGCCCACAATTTTTTTTATTTAAAAAGAAAATTGACAAGAAGGATCTCTAATGTTAAGTATCTGTTTATTTGATGAAAAATGAATGTTTTATTACTATTATATAAGAATTAATAACATATTTGCTCGAAAAAACTATTTATATGAAACAAAATATGATATTTACATATATTATTATATATAAATTACATTTTATCATACATAGTATTTTTGAACACATCACTTTAATACAACAAAATACCTTATGTCTTTATCGACACAAGCAATATGTGAAGTGCTAACTGTTAGGTTCTTTCAGAAATTCCAAATGGCGAAAACATATATTTCTAATTGGAAAAAATATATATTACCATGTCTTACACTTTAAATAATATTTTTAACTTTGTTTCAAAAATATATTACATAACACATTTGATTTGTGTTAAGCTATTTTAAACTGCAAGACTTTTATATTTATTTATTTATATTAATATTTTATTTATTTATCAAAATAATTATATATATACATATATATAATATATGTATATATATAATATAAACTAATTGTGTATAACATACTTTATTGAAAATATTTTTGTTTTTCTATTGAAACTGTGTTTCTCAAAATGATGTGAAATAACTATAGTCGATATAACAAATTTTGCTGGAATTGGGGTTTGAGGTTTTTATAACTAATTTGGTTCCAATAAAATATGCAAATAAAAAATTGAAATCAATACAAATTGTCACCAAAAACCCAAAAAATATGATACAATATTGTGATGACACAAAATTTTAACAAAAAATATATTTAAGAAATGATAATTGTTATTCTAAAATAATACAAAAGGCTTGTTAGAATTGCATAGTACATCTTTTCATTACCAGAAATTACTGCATAATTATTTTTTCTCAATGTCAAAACGTTTGTTTAAAACTTCCCCAACTAATATTATTTGGTAATTTTATCTAAATTATGATGATTTTGTTAATGTACATAATAATGATTTTTCAGAAACATGTCTGGTACATAATATAGCACATAATATAGAAGTGGAAATTATTTTATAATTGTAAGGATGAAAAGAAAGAAAGCATAATAAAATTAATTACAAAAATTATGACATTAAATAAAATGACTTTAATTCCAATGTTAGTAATGGTGATATTGATATAAAGTTAATGACATATAATTATCTTGATACAAAGAACTATATTTTTTTCTTTTGAGTCTAGTAACAACTTCCATTTTTTAGCTAAATACATCAGAATGATTGTGCAATACTAGGAACATGTGATATTAAATTCAAATATTGTTCTAGATGATACTGAGCCCATATTATGATAGCAATTTTTGTATAATGTGTTATTGAATTACCACATTTATATACTGTGCATTGTCAATAATATTTTTTGACAGTACTATGTTTAAGTGGAATGCGAGTGGATCTCTGTGTAAGTATATTGCATAGATAATCACATTAATTTCAATAATATGTATATACATAATCTAAAAGTATGTTATCAAATTAAATTATACACACACACACACATATATATATATATATATATACTTCATATAAATATATATATATATATATACTTCATATAAATATATATATATATATATATATATATATATATATATATATACTTCATATAATAGGTACACAGATCAGATATGTCTTGGACACACTTTGTATATATGCTTGATGTGTATGAGCCTATATGATAATATTCATACATATGTGTACATAATACAAAAAAAAACTAAATTAAGTTTTATGCGATTCCCAATTTAGCTCTTCTTCAGTGGATAAAATATACATACACACACACACACACACACACACATATATATATATATATATATATATATATATATATAGATATATGTATATATATAAAAACAAATTATATTTTATAAGTAGGTTTTAGTCCTTTGTTTTTTTTTTAAATTATATTGAAAATAAATTTTTTGTTGCATTTATTTCACTAGAATATGGTTTAATAATAATAACATAAGTGTTTCGCAATTTAAACAGTTGGCACTTCACAGGATCTCAAAACTATTTATTTTATATTAGGTACACTCAAGAGTGTGTCGATATATTGTAACAAATGTGACCATACCTGAATTGTGCAAGTTTATTAATACAAATTCGTGATGCAGTATTTTACAAAATGATAATAAATATGAATGATACAATCAGAAGATACTCTTTTAATTAATTTTATTTTATATTATAATTGTAATTTTTACAATGATAATAAAACACCCTTATTTAAATTTATTTATTTGCCTGGTAAGTAACAAATGGTGAAAACATTATGATGATCATAGAAAGCTCATCTTCATTTCATATAATGTTATATTTCACAAAATCCAGTAATATTGATTTGAAATATTAAAATCCATAGATTTTACATGAAAATCTTAATTTTTTACTGAATTATTGATACTAATTTTGATAAAACTGCTAGCTAATAATAGTTTAAATGAAAGCAATTAATCATAATAGTCTTTTATAATTTAGTCCTCCATCGTCAATTTGTTTTGGTTAGTATCAACCATAATCATCAATCATTTCGGATTACCTGTTCATTTTATACTTCTTGTATCTATGTGAGTAACAATAATTATATATAAATTATTATCATTTATGTTGTTGAATGAATAATATCGAATATATTATATAATAGTAGATTTTTGTTATTTATGTTATTGTGAATATCAGTTCATTTCAGGAGGGTAACCGGTTACATTAGTGAAAGGCTATAACTTTATTATATATAACAAATTTTGTTTTGCAAATAACAATTGCAAAGTCATGAACTTCACATCTAATAGATCAGAAATACGATTGAAATACATTGTGATTAACGTTTTGTTTCTGTTTGACCAGTTACAACTGTGGCGCGTTCATTGAACACTGCGCACAATTTTTATCAACAGAATCAAGCCATGACGAGTACTACATTTGCCAATCGCAGAGTAAGTTGTGTTGGTAAGGTATCGGATGAAAAATATTTATATATTTTACTAAACTGAAACTTTTAATACAAATAATTAATATATATATATATATATATATATATATATATATATATGTGTGTGTGTATATGTATTAATAGTAATACTATTATTAAACCCAATCGTTTATTACTTGTAACTATTTAAGTATCGTACTTGTAAGTATTTAAGTATCGACTGTTCTTTGTATATAATATTAGTCTTGAGATTAGACAAAAATGAAATTACATATATTCTATCGCAGGATAGCAATCCTTCTCACGCTGTCAAATAAATATACCTGTAAAGTAGCTGAATCCCAGTAAACACGCGATGTGATCTTCTATAATATCGACATCGTTATTATAATGCGGTTATCGAATCTACGCCACAAGAGGATTTTAAACTTGCGTGCGCTTGTGTGTGTTACAATACACGCAAAGCTCGCATTGAGTTGTCTCGCGAGACATAAACACGCGCTGTCGGGGGTAATGACATCGTTGAATTTCATGTGAGATACATGTCGTGCGCTGGTGTGTGTTAGCACACATGCAAAGCATAATCAATGACGTCACACGGCGTGAAGCAAACGCGTCGTGCGCTGCGTTGTGTGCGTTGTGTGCTGGTGTGTGTGACCATACAAAGAAAGCTTTACATCAGCGCGCTGTGGCCACTGGTGGAACCGACTGTTTATTTGACGAAAGCTAACCTAACCGCGACAACCGCGTACAAAATGGCGCAAAATGTCACGAATTTATCATGCATCAAGTTATATTTTCTTTAGTATAATAATTACATTCGTTTAGTTAAGCAACTTGTTTATGATAATTGTAGAAAAGTGTAGAAAAATGACACCGTAAGTATATCATATATTATTTATATAGATATGTAATTACTTCACGATTTTGAATTCCATTTAGTGCATTATATCCTGGGATGAAGAAACGTTATTTTATGTCGATTTCTTTAGATGACAAAGGAGGTAACCAAATAGCATATCTTACAAAATCTGAGGACAATAATAAGGATTGTTTAGCAAGGTTAAAATAATTATTTTACTAAATTAAGACATTAACATATCCATGTGTTCGACATAACCTCACTTCTTAAATCTCTTAAATTAGTCGGTTGAGAAGCGGATCGAGAATGATTGTTTGAATATGTAAGTCACTACAAATATAATAGCTATACAAATATATATAAACAGCAAACACGTATGCCATGTTCATATTTTTTTCAGAAGTCGTACAAAATTGGAATGAAACGATGAACAATATACAGATCTTTAGACAGGCTCAAATAATGTATGTTTAGGAGCAAATTGAAGATAATGGAGATTTATCTTCTTAATATGTAAGTTGATTCATATATAGTTGCTGTATATATATTATTTGGTAACAAATACATTATATTTATAATTGTTTTAGAAAACCTCTAAAATTGGGAACAGTATGTCATATATGCATGAACTTGATTGATGTATTGATGTATAATGAACTGAAGATAGAATGAATTCAATCAGGTTAAAAAAAATGTATGTGCAAAAGCGACTCGAAGACGATTTAGATTTGTCTCCTGAATATGTAAGTTGCTACACATATGGAGTGGTATATATATTATTAGATTCAATAAAACACATTATGTTTCAAATTGTTTTAGAAAACTTCCAAGAAGTACAACATATATGAATATCCTGTATCCTCGCATTTGAACTGGCGATAGAATGAAATCAGTCAGTGTTAAAAATGTATGTGTAAAAGCGACTTTAAGATGATGGAGATTTGTACACTGAACATGTAGGTAGCTACACATATGGTAGCTGTATATATATATTATATTATATACAGTAAATCACATTATGTTTGAATTTGTTTTAGAAAACTTCCAAAATTTGGGGCAGTATGTCATATGTGCATAATCTGTATCCTGGCATTTGATGCAATGAACTGGCAATAGAATGAAATAATGAAAAATAGGCAGGCTGTTTGATGTATAAGGAAGTGGCGATAGAATACTTATGCAACACTTCACACTTCACGCCCCAAAAATAGAATTACGTTCATTAGATATACAACAATTTTCATTAAATATACTGTTATTAATATGTTAAGATTGAATAATTTGTAAATAGTTTTCTAGTATAGTTCATGTTAAAATTTTATAATTTCTAAACTACAATTCTAATTTGTAATATTTAAATATTGTAAAATTTCTTATTATTCACGTAAATAAATGCTTATTCGTACAGAAAAGAATATTAATTGCATTACGTCATCACTTTCAGGTGCTATTACGTCATAACTGAGTCGCCATTTTGTATGACGTCATGACCGAATCGTTTTCATTCGCCAATGACGTCATGACTGGGGTTAACGCCTTACGTCAGACGGTCTTATCATAATAAACAAACATATGTGGGTCAACGTCGATTTTCATGTATCACGAACGCCGCGTGCGCCAGAGACCGAACCTCGATAGTTGTTCGATAGTTACATAAATTTGCGGCCGTATCCATTAAATATCGACGAAAATGAATATGGGTACCGCATGTCACACGACCTAAATAAAATATTGCCACGATGTTGTGACCATATCGCATGTTTACTGGGATGTACTGTGTGTATTGTTTGCTAAGTACAATAAAACAAAAAAAAAGCTACGGGAAGTTAAATATATATTCAAAAAACCATACACTGACATCTAGTCAATGCAAAACTGTTGATAATATTTTTAAAACTTTATATTCCTAAAACTCTTGCTCAACATGTATTTACATTTTTATTATTAACATCTGTACGTCATTTTTACATGCAAATATTATAATTAGGCGAAATTATAGTTGAAGAACTTATTTTAAGAATATTGTAAAACTTGTAATTAATTTGATTAATAATTAATTTGTGTTAAGTTGTGTGAATATATTTAAAATAATTCTAAACTTGTAAATTCAAAATTTTTGCAAACTACCTATATGGCTTATTTAAGTTTTAAGTTTAATATTTCGTTTATTAACTTCTATCAATAACATGATTTCTAATCTGTTTCTTACCTAGATAATTAAATTGTCTAAACAACAAATTTAGCCAAACAATGTTTCGTTTGAATTTCGCGCTTTATTGAACCTTCATCTCTTCGGCTAACTTCAATCGGCAGCCATCTTGGAACCTTTAAGTGTCAGTTACGTTTCGTGGGCACTATGAAGTGAACACGCTTTTTCTTAAATAATTATGTTTTGCAGACCTCTTGATACTAATGATTGTAATAATGTCTATTTGCAGGGATTCCAAAGTATCCTTTTAAAATTATGTGCACACTCGAGTGCTTCAACAAATCATCAATCAGTAATTAAAACCATGTGCAAAAACATTTTATTCGGAAAATCTTTTAATGTCAGTGTAAGTTAGAATTTAGCAGTGATGTTCAAGTCAAAGGGGCTGCCGAGTAAAGAGTTGGTTATCAATGTGAGTCCTACATTATTTTTCATATATGTATAGCAAAGGTGTCAAATATTTGTTTGAATTCACTTACAGATGCTTAGTATATAACAATAATTATTATACTTGTACGTATTTTAATAAAATATTAGATAACTTGTCAATGATTCAAATGTTATGCACACATCTGTCGAGGAAGAGGTTTATTTTTTGAACAATGAAATTTATTTAATATTTGATATTTATGCGCATTTTGTAAAGTGTTGATTAATTTTATCAAAAACTTTGCATCAACAATTATACTTTATACAGGAATATGTCTATATATTTGCAAAATTAATTTAATATTAAAACAAAGCTGTGAAATAACTTTGTACAAAACTTGCTACACGTTTGTATATAATGAGTACAACGATTTATTGAAAGTTTAAAGTTTCAGACAATTTACAATAATTTTAGACGATTTTAGACTATTTACAAAAATTTTTAGACAACATACAAAATTTTAGATATCTTACAACATTTTCAGATAATTTAAAAACTTTTGTCATTTGTCATCTGATAACTTACAACATTTTTAATTGTCAAGTACAAACATGACAACTCGATGTAGAGTTTTATATTTGTTTTTGACGAAACCCATTATATCATTAAATACATCAATTTGTTGTTAATAAATTGAACAAATATCTTTACATAAAGGTTTTCTAAATCTATTTATATATTAAAACATTGTATTTTAATATTTTTTTGGTATAGAACAAAGCCTTCAACAGATGTGCATATACAAATTGTTCCACAGTATCATTTACAATGTTGTAATATTGTTTTATTGAAGAATTATTAATACTGCTATCGATTATTTCAGCATTATTAAATAGGTTTATAGTATAAAAGGCAGCAACTTTTCCAAAACAAGAACTTGCAAGGCTAGCTGATTTTTTGTCATGTGGTCCTTGGTGCTTTTTCGGTTAGAATAAGGGTCATCTGTCCGCTGGAAGTGGTTGCGTTTATTAGTGGGCAGCCAACTTGTACAGGTGCGATTTCAAAAATTTGAAAGCATGTTAGTCAGTCCAATTTTAATTTTTTTGACTTTGAATCGGTTCACCAGAGTTACATTTTTTGTTGCCAAACATTTTTGATGCTGCTAAATATGTGCCAGACGTCAATTTATTTATTAATTTGTTTGAAAATTCAAATCCTTTTAGTCTGTCTGTAATTTTAATATTATTTTCATTAAGGGTGTAAAACATAAATTTAATTTACCAGACGTTTCTGTGGTTGTTAAGCATGTCTGGCAACAAAAAAAGTTTGGCAATATGATACTAGTAGACGAAGACAATTTCCAAATACATTGGTGTGAATGAAACAAAAAACTATTTTCAGTTGTGTGTATTTCTAATGTTAATTAGCGTTTATATACAAACATAATACAAATCTAAACTTAAAATCACAAATTTGTTTAGACATTCCATATACGCTCCATTTCCTGAAATATTGCAATAAATTGTACTCATAGTATGCTTTGCTTGTTAACATATAATTTTATTATTATTTTTTACTTTCCTGATCCTTCTATTATAATTTTTAGAAATATACCTAGAGAAATACAAGAATTGCGCATAAATGCAAAAATTGCGCATTGATGCTAAATTTGTTAGGTAATTATTGAAAACATTACACAAGTAAAGGTCAACTGGTAAAGTTACACATTAGTTGATTTATTTATCAAAATGAATATAAACAAATACAAACGGACATAAGATACATACTTTAAATATGATTGGGTGTAACTTTGTGTTCATTTTTTTTGTCATTTTTAATTTTTTTAAATTAAAAAAATAATTTTTAGTACCTATTATCTTTGTTTTCACAATTTTTGTTTATTATTATTATTATTAGTATTTTATATTTTTACCCTTTTTTAGTTTTAAAATTTTATTTTTCAAATTTTTGTTTTCATCTTTAGTGTCTTTAAAAATATTCAAATTTAATATTAAATATTAAATATTAGATAGAAATTTTATCTATATTCTATCTATACTTTACATTTTTAGTTTTTGATTTAACATTTTTATTTCACTTGAGACCCCGCCCTGTTCCCTTATTTGCAAGCCTCTTCTCTATCTCTGCTCCCATTTGAATAATACTTTTTCTTAGCTATAATTATAAGCTATATTACTTAATATGACATCATACAATAGATAATTATTGTATGTAACATTAAGGTTTTTTTCATGTAATATTATTATAAAATCTTTATATTTTTACAGATTGATGAACTATTCAAAAAACATTACTGGCTACTGAATAAACGTTCCGAACTATCGACGAATAACAAGTTAATTATTTATAAATGTATTTTTAAACCAGTGTGGTCTTATGGGATTCAACTATGGGGCACCGCCAAAAAAACCAATCTACAGATTATTCAGCGAGTGCAGAACAAGATCATAAGGCAGGCACTGAATGCACCTAGGTACGTTCCCAACTGGCTGATTCACCAGGACAGCAACATAATGACAGTAAATGAAGAAATTCAACAAAAAACAAACAACTACAAAAAAAGAATAGACGAGCACCCAAATTACTTGGCCAACAAAGTATACTCAGAAGCGCGCCCAACAAGACTAAAACGAAAAATTCCAAAGATCTTATAACGCGCATGCTTCGGTCACATCGAAATTGATTTGCGTTCATGCGCATTGCTCAAAAAACGACTCGGGAACATATAAAACACTCATCATACCAGTTTCCATGCTTCCGCAACCCGGTTTCGTATGACAACATCCGAAATGAAAATAACTCCTTTTCTTACAACTTACGACGCACTGTTTGATCGTTTGCACACTGGCTTTTACTTACTTAGAGATTAGAGAGAAAATGAGATGTCTATGTTTATATATTCATATAGAACAATAGGCATCTAATTTCTAAAGTAGTAAGATTCTTGAAAATATTTACTTAGCATTTATGTATAATTCGATGAGTGTAAATTATTATTATTATTATTGTTATTATTATTATTACTATTATTATTTTTATTATTATTATTATTATTATTATTATTATTATTATTATTATTATTATCTTACTATTTCTATTATTGTTATTTTGTTATATTTTATTATTTTTCTAGTATTATTTTATTATTCTGAAATTTTATTTATATTATTTATTGCTTATATTTTACATTAAATCATATTACGGATATTATTTTCATGTAAATTTTATCCTTTGCTCTTTTATTTATTTAAATTTATATTATTATTTATCAATATTACTTGATGTTAATAAATTAGCAGTTGTAATAATTATTGAAATTAAAAAAAAAAAAAAAAAAATTTACCAGTCCAAAATCGGTGAACTATTGCTCAAGCCTTTGTTTTTAAGTTTTTTAGTTTTTATCGATTCGTAAATTTCAAATTCGTTTTAAAATCCGTTCATGTTTGAATAAAAACTTTGATCATGCTTTTTACAAGTAAAAATCGGCTGTAAAAATCATAAACAATAAATAGTCCACGAGAAATAAATTAGATAAAACTTGTAAAGTCCATGGATATTGAAACTGTAATTAAAATTTACGAATCGATAAAAACTTTCAAAATCCGCGAAATTTGAAATTTGTTCATGATTTTTTTTTTCAAAGTTTTTATCCATTTGTCAATTTTAATTTCATTTCAATACTTTCATAATTCGTTCATAATTTTTTTTAAAGTATTTATATTGATTCGTAAATTTTAATTTCAATTTCAAAATCCGTGAATCAAAATTGTCAAACTTGAAACGAACTAATAGGACTGTCAGC